CCTCGACGTCGGTTCGGCACGGCGCGGCCCCCCCGCATCAGCACGGCTCGGCCCCAAACGATATTCCGGTGGAACAAGAGCCGAGCCGGCAGTTGTTCCGTCGGACAACTCCAATCCGGCTGGCAGAGAACCTCTTTCATCTCTGCCTCCCCGACCACCACCGCCACCGCCTCCTCCTCACCACTCCTCTCCTCCTGCCGCCACCGCCCCTCCTCGTGCCGCCTATCGACCCCAATGTCTCTCTCTCTCTTTCTCTCTTAGTCTTTCTCTCCTTTCTTCACGCCCCACGCCCCGCACACACACACACGCTATTTGCCGAATAAAATATGTAACTCCGTCGTGTAAACGCCGATGATATTTCACATTTACAGATCATCGGCTTTATAATCATCATCATCATCTTCTTCCTATTCACAATAATGATTACGATGAAGCCGATCATCTGACCGTGACGCTTCTTCCTCATATTCCTCTTCTTCTTCTTATTCCCCTTTTAGACGTTTGATTGAGCCTTGGGGGAAGCCGCGACTGGACACCGGAGATATCCGCCCCCCGCAGATTACAACGCACACTTTCCCCAAATTTACAACGAAACCCCTATTCCCTTCGCATTTCCACTTCTTAATCAAAGTCCATCCAACCCACAAAAACACTTTTTTTCTTTCTACATTCATAAAAGCGTTAATCTTCACAATTTCCTTATAATCAATACCTATAGTCTTTACTGAAACTATTTTTTTACAGCAAAACTTTTTAATGTAAATAATTTCCAAATATATTTGCAAAATTAACTTAATTACTTAATTCATCACAATTCATTCATTCATCACAATACAACAATTCATCAATTAACGTATTTTAACTTTGCAATATAAATTCTTCTAATATTTAGAAACATCAAAAACATGTCTCCCAATTATTAAGAGTTTTCAAAATATATTTGAACTAACACTTTTTTATTTGTAATATCAGACTTTTAGAAATATAAAATAATCATAATTTTAGTTATTATATAACCGATAAACAATTACCAGTATTACAAAATATATACAAATTTTAATCATTAAAAAACCTACAAAAACTACAAAACTAGTTTTATAAATACAAATTATACAATCAATTATTGTATAGATTTTACTTGTAACGAAACGCATTTCCACTTCTTAATCTAACCCACAAAAACACTTTTTTCTTTCTACATTCATAAAAGTGTTAATCTTCACAATTTCCTTATAATCAATACCTATTAAAAGACTTCGAAATAACTTCCAAATACAAATTGTCTACTAATCTTAACTTAAAAGAATTTCAGTCTTTACTGAAACTATTTTTTACAGCAAAACTTTTTTTTTTCATTAATTTGTGCTAATAACTTATTATGCATGCTAATTCAAGAACATTACAAATTAAGATTTTTTTCATTTGAATTTTTAACATTCGGAAATACAAATCTTAACTAAACAGAATTTCATTAATTAATGTAAATATTTTCCAAATATATTTCCAAAATTAACTTAATTACTGTTAATGCTTTAAACTGTTACAAATATAAAATCTTCACTTTAATAGTAAAAATATTATTGATTGTACAATATTTACAGAATCAATATTTTTCATTAATTTGTCCTAGTAACTCATTATACAACATTTAAATAGTTTCTAATTCAAAAATATTACAAATTATTTCAAATTAAGATTTTTTTATTTGAATTTTTAACATTCGGAAATACAAATCTTAACTAAACAGAATTTCATTAATTAATGTAAATATTTTCCAAATATATACTAATATTAACTTAATTACTTAATTGCTGTTAATGCTTCAAACTGTTACAAATATAAAATCTTCACTTTAATAGTTTAATATTTCAATTATGAAATATGTATCTTATACCAAGAGAACAAATATCGAATCTTTACTATAAACGTAATTTGATATAAATTATTGTATAACGTTCAATATGTTTCCAAATAGAAATCTTTAATTAACAATTCATCAATTAACGTATTTTAACTTTGCAATATAAATTCTTCTAATATTTAGAAACATCTCTTAATAGTTATTAATAGATTCCAAAACATATTTGAACTAACACTTTTTTTTATTTGCAATATCAGACTTTTAGAAATATAAAATAATCATAATTTTAGTTATTATAAAACCTATAAACAGTTAAAATTAAATTTTTAATCATTAAAAAACCTATTTTTTATTCGCAATTAGAGATATTCAAATATTTCGAATACCCAAAGTTTTGTAGTTATATAAATACAAATTATACAATCAATTATTGTATAGACTTTACACGTAAAATGTGTTCTTACTATATTTAGAACTAATAATTTTGTACTTTTCTTAGCAATATTAATTATCATACGATCTTTATATAACTTGTACAAATCAAAGTATTTTTATTAGTTAGTGCAATTACTTTGGGTCTGTATCAAAATCTCGCCAACTATAATTCCGATTGTATCAGAATCTCGACTATATCGAAAATTTTTACAATAACATTTTGAAATTATTTTGGAGCATTTATCCCACCCCGCTTATATGACGTCACTTACAAGCCCTGTGGGGTGCGCCCCACCCCAGCCAGCAGCTGGTAGTCCGGAAAGGTCTGTTAAGGGTTCTACCTGCTCAGGGTATATAAGCTGCAACACATCTGTACCCAGCCTCTTCTCTCTTGACTCTCCTTCACTGCTGTATCTTCATACCATGTAAGTTTCTCTGTATTATCTCTGTGTTGACTTCTTATACTGTAAGAACCATTTGTATCCTGTGTATCTATCTCTCTGTAGTGTATGATTTACCCAAATAAACTTATAATCGAGCATCTCCAATACTAAAACGAAATGGAGAACGCTCAAGTTGTTACTGCTTGAGCGTTCTCCATTACGTTTTAGAATTCGATCATGTCGGGGTCACCAATTTGGAGATGCTCAAGTATATATTTATTTGGGTAAATCATGGATAAGTAACGATGCAGAGAGATACATAAGATACAAAGGTTTCTTACAGTCACAGAGAATACACACGAGATATTACAGAGAATCTTACATGATATTAAAACACAGAAAATGGGTAGAGAAGAGACAAAAGGAGACAATGCCTTTGCGTATTGAGATAATACAGAAAACCTTACATGATATTAAGACACAGAAAATAGGTAGAGAAAAGACAAGATACAAGAGGAGGAGATAATCCACATGCCTTTGCGCATCTTCGTAACTCCTGCTGGTCCTGGTAGAACTTGATCTTCCGCAATAACCTGAAGAGCTTCCTCGCTTGCTTCACGAGCTCTTTACGTATCATTGGTTGATTCCGGTTTGGATCTACAGGTGGCTGCATTTTTTAGAGTACGAACGATGCTGGTTGTTGATAAATATAATAGTTTGGCACGTAGCAACTTTAGTAGTTATAAAGTTAGTAGTAGTTATAACAAGCTATAAAGTTAGTAGTTACAACAACTAAAGTTGCTACGTGCTAAACTATTATATTTATCAACAACCAACATCGTTCGTACTCTATAAAATGCAGCCACCAGTAGATCCAAACCCGAATCAACCAATGACACGTAAGGAGCTCGTGTAGCAAGCGAGGAAGCTCTTCAGGTTATTGCGGAAGATCAAGTTCTACCACGATCAGCAAGAGTTACGAAGATGCGCAAAGGCATGTGGATTATCATCTCCTCTTGTCTCTTGTCTCTTCTCTACCCATTTTCTGTGTATTATTATCTCATGTGTATTATCTCTGTGTTGGCTCTCGGACTCGTTATGATGTATGAACCCTTTTGTATCTCTCTGTAGTGTAACTAGCCATGATTTACCCAAATAAACTTATAATTAGAGCATCTCCAAAATTTAATTTTGTTGAATCATTCATAATAAACCGTATTATTTATCATTAATAACAATTTAAAAGTCACTACGTTTCGGAATAATTTCAAAATGTTATTGTGGACATTTTCGATACAGTCGGTTGTCGGGCTTGCGATTGCTCATATAAATAATTATCTTTCAATAACAAAAACTAAATAAATAGAGAAAATCTAATAGTGAAACTATTTTTACAATGGAATTTATATTACCTATTCTCAATTATTAATTCATAAAGATATCGCAATCAATTTATCAGAGATCAATAAACTTATTATACAATCTGTGTTTAGTCTACAAATATAAGTTTTGTAAATAATTTCAAATTTTATCAATAAGAAAATACAAATATTAAGCGAAACAAATAGTAATTAATATATTTGTTTGTAATTAATAATTATCACTTTAAGTTTGTCACAAATTATTGTTATATATGTTATTTCCTCATCTCCTAGATGAGACTAAAAAATTGCATTTACGAAACTATTTCACATAACATATTCATGCTAATTAGTCTTATTAGATTAGTAACTTAAGTAACATTAATATGATGTTTACATAACAATAGATCATTTTACAATAGAAACACATTAACATTAATACATGTTCAGTGTCAAATATAACTGCTTTATCTATGTCAATATGAGAGTAATACGCTTTCAATTAAAACGTTCGAAAAAGCAGTGTTTTCACATTTCATTGATTTTCTCGAAAACTATAATAGGTAGAATTGATCCAAAATATGCATATGAAAGCTGAATGTTTGGGGTTTGTAACGAGTATTTATATATTATTGTGGTTTCATCCGTTTAGCAGCTATTGGCGTTTAAATTTGAAAAAACGTTAAAAAAGCAGTGTTTTTACATTTCATTGATTTTCTCGAAAATTATAAAAGATAAAATGGATCCAAAAGATGTATATGCAAGCTGAATGTTTGGGGATTGTAACGAGTATTTATATATTATTGTGGTTTCATTCGTTTAGCAGTAATTGGCGTTTAAATTTGAAAAAACGTTAAAAAAAGCAGTGTTTTTACATTT